AAAAAAAGTCAATCTGTTGGTGAAATAACCCAGAGATGGCGTCGAAATAACCGACAAAACCCGTTCAATTTCACGCCTTCAAGAATAATAATAAAGATAAACCGATGTTATGTGTACAAACAGCGAAATGGCGCAAACGGTATTAGCACTCACCTTTTACTCGCAACTTTATTCTCCTTGCGACAATGAACTTGATGTTACGTACGCACTTCCGGCGGTTTCTTTTTCGTGGATTTCTTCGTAACCTGATGTTGTGTGAAATAAGAAGAAGGGAAAAATGGATTTCAGAGATCCGGTGGATCATCCTAAACGTTGAACCGCAGAACAAATCCTCCCACTTTTTTTATATACCGGAGGGGCAGTTTTTTGTTTTTTTTTTTTCAAGCACTTTTTTTCCTCGATTCATGCAGAGTACTCTAATTTCATGTGGCCGGGGATCGGTGGACACAAAGGCCTTGGTATTGTCGGCTAATATATCATCTTCATTCTTCAAACGCCTCCATGAATATTCAGGAGAGGAGGAAGGAGTGGGTCGGCCTGTTTTTCCACTTTTTATTCTCAATTTTTCGCTGTTGCGATGTGCCATACGTTCGTGTTATTTAATCATGCCGAAAATTCAACGCGGGATATTTCTACAGCCGGAAATAATGTCGCGAGACGGTGGATTAGGCGCGGATAATGGAGTGGAGAACAAGGAAATTGAAAAAAAATTGGGTTTCTCTTTCTTTTTTTTGTTGTTTGAGAATATGCGCTGAAAGAGACGTTGAGATTTGAAATATATCACTTCGAGACTTTTATTGATCTTAATTTTAATTGTAAATGCCTTGGGGTTAGAATTTTTTAAAGACTTCAAGGCTTTGACGTCTTCAAGTTCTCAAGTCCTCAAGTCCTCAAGTCCTCGAGTCCTCAATGTGAGACTTTTCACAATTTTAGTTACGTATCAGAAGTCTCAAAATAATTTTTCATTTTTTCAGTGATGTACCAATTAAAAGAGCATTGAATTTTAATTGAAAAGTCATGAGTCTTTAAAGTCTCAATCTTAAACTTCTAGCAACTCAATTTCGGAAATCTATCTCAAACCAAAATTGCTAGTTTATGCGTGATGTAAATTGGGAGAAGATTCTAGGTAACTTAGGAAATTTTAAGTTGCATTTTAAAGATCATACATTAACTCTTCGAAAGTCTCGATCCGAGACTTGACTGAATTTTCATCTGGGACTTGAGAAGATTTCGAGCTGAAACTGGACGAATTCTTAATTAGAAACTTCAGTCTAAGATTAAACTGAGTCTCAATCTAAAACTCGACAAAGTCTCAATCTGAGATTCAACTAAGTCCCAATCTGAAACTTAACCAAGTCTCAGTCAAAGACTTGACTAAATTTCCATCTGGGACTTGAGAAAGTTTCGATCAGAAACTTGAGGAATTCTCGATCAGAAACTTAAATCTGAGATTATATAGTTTACTAAGTCTCAATCTGAGAGTTAACTAAGTCCTAATCCGAAACTTAACGAAGTCTCTATCTAAAAGTCACAAAAGTCTCACCCCGAGACTTGACCAAATTTTCATCAGAGACGTGATAAAATGTCGAGCCGAAACTCAACAAATTCCGATTCAGAAACTCCAGTCCGAGATCAAACTAAGTCTCAATAATAAAAATAAGAACAAAAATTCTCAAAAATAAAAACAAAAAGTCTCAATAACAATAATAAAAATAAAAATAAGCTCGCAATCTAAAACTTGAATAAGTCCCAATCTCTGGATTATCAATCTGGATTAAGTCTTAAACCAAAAGTAAACCAAGTCCCAGTCTAAAATATATAAGTCTCAAAATAAAGTCCAATTATTTTCTAATTTATCTCCAGACTTCTCTGGGAGACTAAAATAAATCAGACTGTTCAAGTCCCAAATGTCGTGGGGTCCTCAACCCGAGTGCGTTCTGTCCTCCTTGAATGATAAAAACAAGGAAAACGATGGAAAAAATTCATTGGGACGTCCGACTGGGGGACGTCCGGAGATTACCAAGAGGGTACCTATAACTATAGGCTGTTGAGAGGAGGAAGGTTGTTGCGGGGGTCTCTTTCGTAGAGTTGTGTCCGAATGGAGGTGGTTTGGACCGTTAGTTGGCCCCAACGCCAGGCGGGAGCGTTGTCCGGGCATCATGGGCCCTTCCCCCCTCCTCCTCCTCCCCCTTCACCGCCCTCTTGCCCCCCAAGGCCCCGACCATGATTCCACGCTCCATGGACTCATGCCCATATGCATTCTCACCGCGGGAATATTCCCGGGCATATACCCATACCCAACAATTCCGGCGCATTTTTTTACAACTTATTGAAATTATTATTTATACTTTCAAAGAGGAAAAATTGATATTTTCAGGTGTTTATGATTAACAATTGAAATTTAGAGTTCGTTTGGAGTTTAAATTGAGGGGCTCTGCTTTTGGTAATTATTAGGAAATTTATTCGGAAAATTTAATGGGAATCATTGATGGTGTGGTTAATTGTTGTATAATGATAAAGATTTTGAAGATATTAAATTTTGAAGAGATATGTGGTATTTAGAATTTGTGTTTGGGGAAATGAAAAAAGGAGTGTAAAATAATGAAATTATAAACATTTTATTCGACTTGAATTTGTTAATTATTCGTATAAAATTGGTGGCAGATTTGAAATTATTAATTTAACTTTATTTATTCCGCTAAAGATGAATTTATCAGAGAAAAAATT